GTGTGTGTGGTCGTGTGTGTGTGTGTGTGTGTGTGTGTGTGTGTGTGTGTGTGTGTGTGTGTGTGTGTGTGTTTGTGTGTGTGGTGTGTTGTGTGTTGTGTGTTGTGTGGTGTGTGTGTGTGTGTTGTGTGTGTGTGTGTGTGTGGTCGTGTGTGTGTGTGTGTGTGTGTGTGTGTGTTGTGTGTGTGTGTGTGTGTGTTGTGTGTTGTGTGTTGTGTGTGTGTGTGTGTGTGTGTGTGTGTGTTGTGTGTTGTGTGTGTGTGTGTGTGTGTGTGTGTGTGTGTGTGTGTGTGTGTGTGGTCGTGTGTGTGTGTGTGTGTGTGTGTGTGTGTGTGTGTTGTGTGTTGTGTGTGTGTGTGTGTGTGTGTGTGTGTGTGTGTTGTGTGTGTGTGTGTGTGTGTGTGTGTGTGTGTGTGTGTTGTGTGTTGTGTGTTGTGTGTGTGTGTGTGTGTGTGTGTGTGTGTGTTGTGTGTGTGTGTGTGTGTGTGTGTGTGTGTGTGTTGTGTGTTGTGTGTGTGTGTGTGTGTGTGTGTGTGTGTGTTGTGTCCCTGTGACATCAAACAGGAAATGATCAGCCCAGTTGAAGCAGCTCATGAGAACGTACAGGGTAAGGACTAATTTCTGCTAAAAAGTTTATTTTACAACAGTATTTACCGTTAGAACATCTTCTGGGCTCAAAATTAGCTGTTTGTCTTTACCACTCTGCATTTTACACAGTCCCAGCCTCGCCTTGCCAAGCGGACTTTTTACCGCAATGGTGCCCCCTATTGGCTGGTAGATGTGAACATAAATCCAGTGTCCTGCCCGTCAAAATAATGTTTTGATCTTTTTTTTTTATTGCTGTATTTATTCTGCACACCTCTAAATGCCCCGTGGAGGTATATTTTTTTAAATATAGCTTTTTATTAAAATGTTCCATTTTCCACCTTTAAAATTGGAAAGAAAAGTAGGTCAATGTGTGATAGGCTAGTCAGCCGCTAAATGGTGCCATCGGATAAAAGAAATAATCTGGACAGCGATGTTAAATTGGAATAAAAATCTTCCCCAAACTGTCATGACTGCACCCTCTTCAGGTCAGAACTCTGCAATATGTTGAATTTGAAATGGCCATAGCTATTGGCTAAGAGGTGCTCAGTGATGTTCCCAGTTCTGTATTACGTGTGTTGACAAGATGGAGGATCGATGGCTCGGGCGGGATTCGATCCCCGGATCCCCGGGTGTGAGTCACGCGCACTAACCAGTCAGTCAAAGGGACATCCTTGTGGCCAAGTTGCTGGGGCGCATGGTCAGTCGGGATACAGTGACAGGATGTCACACGTGGCTGCACTCCACTGGCCCCTCCTCCAGCTGGCTCAGCCACTCACGAGCTGATACGAAACAATTTGGCTCAGAGCAGCTGGCCTCTTTGAGGAAAAAGGACCTCCTCTTCTTTTAGTGAACGAGGTGGAGTGAAAATCCACAAGCATGCTGGTGTTTCTCTGTCTGCTACTGCAACTGAGTGGTCTGCGTGCGTCTGTGCTTGTTAACGGCTCGTTTCTCCAATGGAGAACCTCCCAAGAGCATGCAGGGGGTGGGGTGGGGTGGGATTTGCTGTCCGTCCCTGCCACAGCGCCATTCTCTCAGTCTGCAAGGCAATCCTTCCTTTTTGCACAGTTTTCATATGAGTGGTTTTGGTGGAGCAAGACTCTGAAGGGGGGTGACTTGCTCTTTAAGCATGCTGTGCATTTGCCCAGGGCTCTTATTGTGAAGAGTTATCAAAGGAAGTTATGTCATGTTAGGGCAGCTGATGTGTGGATAAAAAAGAACAGTCCTCTTAAAACTGCACAAGACTTCTGAGAAGAAAATGTATGTAAAACTTGTAGAAACTCGTTTTAATTTCTGGACAGTAATACGAAGCATGAGAAAAGCTGATTATACTGGTTCTCATGACCTACTAAGATGACTAAACTGCAGCTGGTGTGAATGCATAACGGTAACACTGATGAAAACCGCTTGGCATTTAAACAACCCCTCTGGAATGTTCCTGTTTGTATAATGCATAACTAACAGTAAACACAGCCAGCAAGAGGTTCTCCAGACGCTTCCTCGTGGAGAGAGGTGGAGAGCTAGTTCCAGAGATGTCGTGTTTTTCTTCAGTTCGCCACTGAGCCAGGTGATTTCAAGCAGCACAGTGAATGAAACCGATTCAGTTGCCGAGCAGAACAAAATCACGGTATGGAGTCGACGATTTTGTTGTCATGAAGGGGGACTTGTTTGTCCCTAACAACATTTGTAATGACATTTTTGGAAAGTTCATCCTGTAACCAGGTTGCCAATTCAAACCCAGGCTCTTTCTGTCAGTCGTCGTGTCCTTTGGCAAGACATTTCTAACGAGAGAAAGGAAGAAAATAATATTTTGTATAGCTCCTCTCACGATAAAACTCGAGGCGCTTCACAAAAAAATATTTAAAGTATAAAAAAGATTTCTAAAATTTTTTCAAAATATGTTTAAAATGAGAGAAAAAGTGTCACTAAAAAATAATGTAAGGAAAGGGAGAGAGAAAATGAATAGGAAAGAGGGAAATCAGCAGACCAGAGACTCTTTACATACCACATGGAGAGAATATCTGGAAAGATTACCGTTAGAGCCACCGTGGTAGTTGGGCAAGTCTTCGAAATTGTCGGGAAGGCAGGATCAGGTTAAAAACCTCTAATTATCTTGAATCTGACATAACTGGTTTAGTGCGCTCACTTAGCTTTTAGCATTAATGGAGTGAGAGCAAAGCCGAAAATACACAAATGTGCCTTCCATATATCAGTAGACCTCTTCCAGAAGCAGCCAGATTTGGACATGAAGCACTCACGCTGCTGCACGACCAGAACAATAACAACATCCGTCTTTCTAATGGGAGTTGGCCTGAGGTTGCTGGGAGTCTGCTGTTTGGAACATCTAAACATCTGAGAGCACACTAATGGACAGCTGAAGACGTCTGTTGATTTGAGTTACACCGAAGATCAGACGAGTCCCATTGTTCAGATGGAAATAAAAATAATTGTTTGTGGACACGATGAGATCCGTGGAAATAACCCTAACCCTGATGCAGAGTGTTGTACAGGACATACTCTACTCGTGTCAGGGTGGCGTTGACACTGTCATCACTAAGACACAGAGCAGTTAAATAACAGGATTTCATTGATGATGTCATCAGTAAACGGGTTGATCATGTGGTAATCCATGTCTGATCCCATAACTGGTGGTGGGTATGTTGACAAAATAACAAGATCTATTCCTCCACCTCTGAAGGCTAAATTCATGTGCTTCTTGTAGTAGTTTATTAAAAACTAAACCCAAGTAAAGATTGTTGAACTGGTGTTTTATCTCCAGCAGTCATCAAGTTAAGCATGGGGGACACTCTGGACTAGTCTCTAGTCCATCCTAGGGACACACAAACAACCTTTCACTCGCATTTAGGGACAATTTAGTTTCCGTTCAACCTAACATGCATGTTTTTTGTTGGTGGGAGGAAGCCGGAGTACCTGGAGAATTCCCGTGCATAGCTGGGGCGGACATGCTAGCGCAGCAGCTAGGTATTGAACCTGCTACATGCGAAAAATACATGTCACAATTGGTGGTTTCCAGTTTTTTTTTCTCCATGTTGTTCTAATTTCAAGCATCAACACACTTTTTGTTTTTTGCTTGAAACTCCAGGCTCACGAAGCAGCTCTTCTCTACTTTTATAGCAGCTCTGTCTCTCCATGGTGCGATGGCAGCTCTGGGGTGGGGCGTTCGCTCTGTAACTGGAAAGAGCCCAGGCTCGGCCATCAACAGTCATTGTGTCTTTGGACGAGACGTGTCAGAAGGACCGGTGGTGCCACATGGCGTTGCGTGAATTTTGCGTGAATTTTATTTTTCACTTGGTAGTAATATTGCGGTAATTGTCTGTACTATAAACAGCAATTGTGCCTTGGCGCTACAGAGGGAGGCATCATGAGGACATGGGGAGTTACTGCCGAGCTCCGGCCGATAACTATATTGAAAATGAAAGTAAACGCGGACTGTACGTTTTCGTTTTTGAACAAAATCAGCTGAGACGCCACAACATTGCTGAAAATTGACGACATTGTTTTGCAAAAATGGAAAATGGTGCAACATTTACCTACCATACACATATAGTACATCAAACTCTTCAGTTTCTTCTCCTCTTTCTCAAAATGTTAAAATATGACAGATATGAGGTAAGGTTTTTGAGATATTTTAGTTTATTTGGCACAACTTGTGAGGTAGAAATTAGCCCCGTGTAGTTAACGTACGCTGTCCTCACAGCTTTGTTAAGCTATCAGCTAACAAACGACCACCCAAGAGTTGCTTTCCTAATCTGAAGATCTTTATTAATGTTTTATCATCATAGCTGCAATATACATAATAATCTATATTTTTTTTTACTAATAAGCACATCTGGGTGTCACGCTTGGGGAGAATGAGATTCTGCTGCATTGGAGACAAAATAAAAATGGCACTTTTCCTGCCACCAACTTAAACCAAGTTGTCATTTTCACAGAAAATGTTTCAAATGAAAGCATGATAGGAGAAATGTGATGTTGGTAACCTAAAATGTTTTAGTTGGGAGTCGCAGCATATTTCGGTATTGGAAACCTAAGAGTCAGACAATATCGGTGTATCGGAGATTGGTAATAAAGCCGTTATTGAACATCCTTATTTTAAACAAAATTGATTTCAATATTGGTCAAAAATAACCTTGAGTGTATTTTTTTTCTTTACTGAGCACCAGTGGTTTATGTCGAGTTAAAAACACAAGTTTGGATTGTTTCTTATCTCTTGAATCTGCTCACGTTACTGTTTGAGCCAGCCATTGTTTTTGCTTTTTTAATCAGAGATGTCAAATCTCAGTTCCAAGAGTAACCTTTTAATCTGTGATCTCTTTTCAGACTTATCTGATTTGTTATTATTGCTTGTTAAAGAAGAATAAAGAGTTGATGAGTATTTTCTGTGTCCCTCTCAGCAGTGACGGTGCTGCCATGGCGTCAGGATCCCCAGATGTGATGACCAGTCAGGAGCCTGCTGAGGTCCAAGAGGAGTGCTCAGGTAGAGAGTTATATGTGATGGATGGATACTGAATAAATAATAAATATAATAAATAAAAGGATACATAATAAAAACAGCCCTAGCTAAACAACACCTCCATCCCTGGGAATCACAGGCCCGTCAGTGTGAGGGTTTCCCTCGTAAAGGTCATTTCATTTCATTGTCACCTGAGGTCAGCTCTCCAAATGTTGACCTTAGACTCCATTAAAATCCCACCGCTGCTGTTCCGACTGTCTTCATGTTCATGACTGTAAAAATAAGTATTGGGAAAATCTGTCCCTGCTGCACAATAACAACAGAGCTGAATAACCTTCAAGGGCCTTTTCAGCTTCCTTTTAGAGCAGACCTTTAGTTTAATAGTGCATTATGCCTTAAATAGCTTCATGAATGGTGCGGTCGGGTGGTGCTTCCCCACCCTCAGTACTTAATCTTGGCTGTGCAGAGAAGCCTGGGAAGCATTTTGGAAGGTCCTCAAGTAAATATTGTGTGACTTTGTTTTGCCAGGCGCCGTAAAACAGGAAATCCACTTTATAGAAAAGGAAAATCTGTTATCTTTGTGTGTGTTGATGGCAAAGAACCAAGGTTAAAGAGACTAAGTGTAGTTTTTACCATTAATTTCTGGAAATATCCATCAAAATGTTGTTGAAAATGAATGAAATGATACCCAGTTGTTAAACTTTTGGCAGCTTCATAACATATAACTATAAAAATCAGGTCTAAAATACATGGGAGCGGGTCTAAGGCCCAATCCCAATACTCGCACTTGCACCCTCGTGCCCTTCAATTGCGCATTCCCAGCCAGGGGTGTGAGTGCATAGTGTGCCCTAATCCTCAAGTGCAGAAGTCGACCACACCCCCATTGCACCTTTAATTTGCACTTCACTCAAGTCCACAGCGATGCGGACCTCGGGCAAGGGTATTACCCACAAGTCATTGCTGAAGGGAAACAGGCTCAAGTTCCTTTTCTGAAAAAATGTCATTTCTAATGAAATTAGTTCATTTTAGGACGATTAGTTGATGCTCTAAAACTTTTAGACAGAGCAGCAATAAATGTAAATGTATTTCAAATAACTGTTTGGCTGTTTGTTTAAAATTTGTTAATAAAGGTTTTTGAAAAAAGTATTAGCGACCAGCATCCCGGCATGTGCTGCAACCGATGACACAATGCTCCCTCTATCAATTCTGCAATTATTTGCACACTTGTGTACTATCACTCGAACCCTACTGCGCACTTTCTCCAAGTGCACTTTGCTGAAGTCCGTAGGGCGAGTATTGAGATTGGTTCAAGTCTCTGGGCGACGCCATATTAGATGCCATGTTTCCTTCTACAGGAGCCCATGAGGACAAAATGCATTTACTGATCTGTAACAAACGGTTACAAAACGTTCATCATTCTTAAATGATGTTGTTTTACACATTTACCTGTCCACTTGTTGCCAGTGAGGAAAGGGAGTCTGGTGTGCTTGTTAGTTTGCTAAAGTTTGCACTCCCCAGGGCTTTTTGAATAATTCAACACCAGCAGGCAAAACGCTCCAGAGTTGTTTATAGCACTGAAGCTAGTAAACGGGAGCAACCCAGAAGTTGTCTCTTGTACCCTTAAGAAGCCACGGCATATTTTTGTTCTACTCTTAATTTCAGGTGAAGCAGGCTAAAGGCTAACGTTCAGCTAACAATGCTAACGGTGAGTTAGGATCAGTCTGCTCTGAAAATATCTTAAGCTACTTTTTCAGCCACCAACAACTAGATATTACAGTGAAATGTTTGTGTGAAGCGAATAATGACGTCCAAATGAGTCGTTCAAAACTAATGGCAAGCAACCACACTCGCTCTAATGCCAGAGAAACACTACCGTTGTAAGTGTAGTAAGTGGTCACTGGCACCCAAGCGTGCTAACAATGTATTTATCTACTAATCTTATCATCTAGAATCTTCTGGTGCTCACCCATAGCTGGCAAAAGCCATGAAAGGGATTTGATTGTTTAGAAAAATGGACCTCAGTCACCTGAATTGACCACAGGCTGACATTCTTACAAATTATATGGTAATTACAATTTCTTGTTTTGAGTAATAAAAAAAGATTCTGCCAATGGAGTAAGACAATGTTGCTTGGTTAGAATAAAACTAGCAAAACAATCTAATCTATTAGTTTCATAGATGCATGATCCCAACGGTAAACTACAGATTTCATGTGCAGAAATTTGTATTTTTATGCACTTTTCAGCACTGAGGCTTCTGGGAGACTTTTAAAAGTAATTAAAATATATTTGTTGTCATTATCTTTGTTAATATTCCATCTCACGTTGTAGCCGTTTCATAGGTTTGTCAAGTGGAGCTGAGGCATTTTCTCCTATGGTGCCCACAGATGTTGACTGTGATAGGGTTCCTGTCGCTGTCACTGTCGCTGTGTGGGGTTTCTGCTGAAAACACAGTGCTCATCACTCCAACTACAGACTCTGTGTATTATTAATGTACATCGGTGATCAGCTCTGGAAATGTAGCTGTAATTCTTCTTTTCTGTCTCTTTAGGAAAGAAGAAATCCAGATTCCAGACTTTTAAAATGTTCTTTGCTAGAAAGAAGAGGAAGGAGCCCCAGACGACTGAAGGCGAGGGGGGCCTTAAAGCGAGCCAGTCCAGCGACAATGTCAGCGAAACATCAGAGAACAACACACTCACTCGTTCGGAGAAAGAGAGGGGGTCTGGGTAGGATCACACGTGTGTTCACAGATAAATACGGGGGGTGGATTCAGGATGGGAAGATTGTGTTTTCACATCCATCTCCTGCTCCGCTGGACTCACCTCAGCAGAGCTTCCTGTTTTTGTTACATCTACTGGAAGGTCTTTTCCTGAGGAGAGATCCTGGAGTTCTGTTTTCCTTTTGTCATGCCACTTCCTGCCTTGTCTGCTCTTTATGTGAGTCACAAGATACAACTTGTAGGAACTTACTGCAGTCATCGTCACAAATCCCACAACAAAAGAAAGTCAGGTTTATATAGCAGGTTTATTCCCACAGAATAAAAGGGATTACCATCTAAACTATAGTTGGGTCGTTTAAAAGGATTCCAGCTCTCTGAAGTCTACTTTTCAGAGGTCTGACATTCTATATTTAAAGTCCTTGTTTACTCATTACATGTAATATTTTAATTGTCTGGTATTTTGAAATCTGGGTTTTCATAAACTAAGTCATAATTACCACAATTATAACAAATCTATTTTAATAACATCTGGCTTTGTTGACAAGATAGCTTCAGGAACGGCCTTTGTTTGGAGAAATGGTTCTACAGGACTGTTGAGCTAACAGCTAGTGTTAACTTAAGCCTCATCTATACGTCACCATCAGCCCGAGTGTGGAGTTGCACAAACGCATTGATAGAGACGTTATCCTTTCAGGCTTCTCTGTTCCCTGGGGAGTGTTGCAAAGCAATTCTTCGCCAGGACAACGGAGAGCATAGTGCTTTTCCTCCTGCCACCATTGCAGTCACGTATCTAGCCCACGATAGTATACGTTTGTGTTTGTGAGAGATGTCCGATATTATGGGGAGAGAGGTCCAGAGTCTGGGGGCCACAGCAGCAAATGATCTCTCCTTTGGTCGTTAGTCTGGTGCTGCGCAACCAGTAGGCTTTGGTCACTGGACCTCAGGGACCTGCTGGGGGTGTAGGGACTGAGAAGATCACCAATGTATGATGGTGCTTGTCCGTGTAAGGCCCTATAGGCCAGACTGGCAGCCATTGAAGCTGGAGAAGTGGGGTGATGTGGGTGTACTTGGACAATTTGGTCAGACACCAAGCACAGGTCTCTGACTTTGGGAACCAGCTTGTCTAGAGCACAAATAAAGATCTCAGTCTTGTCTTCATTCAAAGTTCCCAGTCATGAAGGTTTTAATGGAGTCCAAGCAGGTGTGTAACAGCTGCAGTTAAGACATCTCATGGGGCTTGAAGGCAGTTGGATGTCATCTGCATAAAGATGGTAGGAGATTCCTTTGAAGGAGCTCAGGATGTGCTGAAGAGGAAGCAGATAGAAGAGGAAGAGTAGAGGCCCCAGCACAGAACCTTGTGGGACACCATGGGTGAGGGGGGTGGCGGAGGACCAAAACTTGGAAACGTCCACAGAGAAAGAACGCTCTGACTCCACTCCACCCCAGAGCTGATCCTGAGAGTCCTACCCAGTCTCTCAGCCTCTCCAGTTGCAGGTGATGGTCAACGGTGTCGAAGGCTGTAGTCAGGTCCAGCAGGACCAGAACATATACCTTTAAAGTTTTAAAACTAGAATGTAATCAATAGTTCAATGAACTAAAGAGCAATTTCCAGATGGTTCACAAGGCTGGGTTTTAACACTTGTTTAACTCCATGACATGAAATAAAGGTAAATAAAATCACTTAGATCACAAAATCTTAACCCTTTGATGCATGAATGATGAAATCTTCAACCATGATTTTTTTAACAATTTTTTTCATTCATCTTTAGGTGTGAATGAAACAAATTTCATATTTACATATTTTTTGTAAAATTTAATTTACAAATAATTTATTACATGTCCATGTCAGTGGACAGTGTGCAATCTGAACATGAAACATGTTGGCTTGACTTACTGAAATACAAATGGAGGGGTTAAAATGCAATAAAGTCTTCAACAGCTGTTCTTAATAGCAAAAATAAATAATTAATAATTTTAAGTACCTGTCCACTGTAGTGACCATTATGCATCAAAGGGTTAAATTTGACTAAAATTGGTTGAAGCAAAAGTGAATACACCTCGCAACAAAAACTACTACATCTAGTATTTTGTATGATCACTGTGATTTTCAAGGACAGCGCCAAGTCTTCTAGGCATGAAATGAACAAGTTGGCGACATATTTGCAACTATCTCTCTTTTTCCATTTTTCAAGAATAACCTAAGTGGGGTGTACTCTCTTTAGCAACATGGGCTTGAATGGATTTGTTAGGAAAATCACTTTTTTTGTGTGAAAATGGACAAATCCTGTTTGCAATAAATGGCCCACATTTGTGGAAGTATTTTATAGTATGTTA